TCCATAGCTTGGGACGCCGAGATTATGTGGAGGACCTATGTCATCTGTATCAGACGGCAGAACACGTGGCTTGTGTTGACTGGGGGCCGTGTCCGGTTTAACCCTTTTGACTTGCTTTGACTCACTCTTGCGAATAGTACCCGAAGGCTTAGGGAAGAAAACGTCCAACCTGATTCCTTCCGGATCTGGTTATTAGTTTCCCCACCATAAGCGTTGTGACGCACCTCAAACTATCACATAAACGGTGTGGCAAAATGATGCACTAGAACTCTCTCCTTCTTTTCTCAACATTAGGCTATAATCGCCCCCTTAATGGGTTCTTTTTGGTAAACTCCTTTAATGAGGGGTCAAGGACTTCTCTTCAAAGTGTGCTTCATATGCAAATAGGAGTCTGTCTGTGTGTTCAAATTCATAGGTGTGGACTAAGCCGCATCACCCAATGCCCGCGCCCAACTTCAGTTGTCTCGACCTTGCCTTGCCACTGGAACATTCTGGGTGAGGGATGAACTAATGAGGCCAATGCTTGGAAGTCGGTCATGTGTGCAGTATGACTGACAGAAACTGTAAAGACAAGTTTTTTGATTGGTTGATCGCACACAAGTCTCTTTGAGTGACAAACACTTAGGTGCCGCATGCCGTACACAGTGACACTAACTTGTCTTCGCTTTTCTCCCTTACGAATCTGATTTGGGCCGCAGTCAGTTCTTGTCTGCTTTCCATCTGCGTTGGCCATATACTACCTATCAGCATCACTTTCAAAGCATTGATAAATCACTATTTGCGTATTTCTTTCTCTTCGCCTGTGAGTGAGACTTCCCGTCTGCGTGTGGCCGTTATATTAGGTTTTGATGGCGCAAACGCGCTTTAATTTTAATAGCTACGTCCACAGCAATGAACACGAGCGAATTCAATCTGCAACTAAAATTCTTTCAGATATCTTTTTAGTCAATGATGAATTCAAAATTCCTCTTGACCAGTTTTTCGGCAAACAATCCCGTTTATTCAAGTCACGTGTATATTTATTTTTTTATTTATTTATATGTTAATTTGGGTTGTCTGGCATAAATTAGAAAGCAGTCCTGGAGCCTCAAGCTAAGTGGTTAAACCTATCGAGCTCGGAAGAGCGTTCCTAATCGGGCGTGTAAATTGCAGTACACAACACAGAATTTACTACTGTCGCTGACTCTTACATTGTTGAACTCATCCTCCCAGGTTCCGCGGTACATAGGCTTTTTACGACTACCAATGTGTTGAAATTTGGACTGCTTCCATAGGAAGTGAAGTAAGCGACGGCGACGGCTCTTTTTTGCGTGAGTTATATGTCAGGATTTCCTGGCTACTAATACCAGCATGTATTAGTGCTGGCAGTTCCCTTAATCCTTATCCCGTGGCGTCGCTTGCACCTGCATTTCTATAAGTACTGGTTGCCACCATAGGTCCTCTTTTGGTGTTTCGGTTTGTATTGGTGTCCCGTCTGCCTTGCTGCCATGCATTTTGTGTTCCAGTTCATTCACAGGACCCGCTTACTGTGTAGGAGAACTCTACAACGCCTGCCTGCACTAAACCTTGACCCTCTAGCCTAATGACCGTTTTTTTCATCCTAAAAGCTAGCTTTGTCGATGTGGAGGCCTATGCGGCCTTTGCACAGTATTCAGTCAC